ACATCTTATGGCTACGTGATTAGGGTTGCCAAAAATGACTTTTTGTTCGTGAACAGCTCGTGTTCAGCTCGTTAAACAAACGAGCCGAACACGAACAAACGTTTGGAGCTCGAAATATAAACGAGTCGAACACAAACTAAGCCTGGGCTTGCTTGTGTTCGGCTACTCGTGTTCGGCTAGTTTACACCGCTAATTATAACCGTCCATTATTGTAAATGAAAGCTTGCATTTTAAGTATCAGAGATATTTAAATGATAATATGTATATATTCTCATGATAATGCAACAACTTCTTTTAAAAGCGTCTAGGCCGTTCCATCTCAATAACATCCAACAGTCTAATTTGCGTTGAAGCATTTATAATGGTATTAATTGTAGCATGGCCAACAAGAAACTGCGCCATGTGCTCACTCTAATCTCATTGGCGCCACATAAACTTGAAGGCCGTGACCAATCAATCCCCAACAAATAGGGGAAAACATGAAGTAAACTTGTAATTAACAGTTCTACCGGCTTTGAAAGGTCCTCCTCACCTATGCAATGAATGTATATGATTTTTCTGATAAATATATATATATATATATATATATATATATATATGTTGGAATTCAAAATTATCTATTGGACCGTGCCCAAGGGAAAGAACCGGGTTTAAACGGGAGGAGAAAGAGAGAGGAGTGGTCCCCGGGCTAGGCATCTCCTTATATCCACACAACACAAGTTTGTTATAAGTGAGTGAGAAAGGGAGCAAGCTCCCTATATGAGTGGGAGAGAGAGGTTAAGAGAGACCCTTTTACATAGTAATGAGTTCTTTATTTATAGAGAAATAAAAGTGAGAGAGGGGGATTACACTTATGCCCCTATTATAAGGGGATTCATGAGGGATATCTTAGTCTTTTTTCTGTTTGGACAGGTTCTTGTGAAGTTCATCCTTTTGTGAGGTCTGTTGGCGTCGGGTGGTCGACCTAAGTAGCCTTTGGTGATCGATCCAAAAGGCCGACTGTCCGAGGGTGGTTGGCCAAGGTGGGCCAACCATCGTTCTTCATTATGGTCATCCCATGGTAGCCAACTGACTATGGTGGCTAGCCGGATGCCTTTCTTGTGGCTTGCCTATGGTAGACGATCGGTTGGAGTTGGGTGGTAGGTCATAGGTGACTGGCCGATTAGAGTGGTCAAGTGGTTAGGGTGGCCGACCAAGGTGACTGGTTGTATGCCTTCATTGTGGTTGACCGGTTGGAGTTGGGGGGCCGACCATAGATGGCCGCCCGTTGGTGTTGGCCGGGC